TAATTAAAAATGTAAGTAAAAATAAATAACATTTTTAAAGACTTAAAGTGAAAATATAGATCTTCCATTTCCATTTGCCAATTATTGTTATATGATTGGTTGGATTTCCGTTTCAATCTACGTAACTACCTATATTGGTTTACAAATTATCTATTAAAAGAGCCAAACTAGTTGCTGGTTATTCGGTTGACGTAAAAATGACTTAATTACAATAGTGAGCTGTTAGTTTTGTTACATAACATTATCCTAACATTATCCTCGTCCYCTCGTTAGTTTTTTTACGATATTTTAATTTTTAAACGATTTATGACTGTTATGAGTAGGTATCTAAAATATGTAGGTATTAATATTTTAAAATGCTCATAATTCAATTAAAAATTAAAGTATCGTAAAAAACCAACGATAGAACATATATAATATTCTTACCTAAAAGTTTTATAGGTGGTCAATTCAATCTAATTTCAAAACTAACAGCACACTAATACACTATTGAAACTGAGCGAAAATTTCCCGTCGTAGGTAGATATGTATGTAAGACGGAGGCAACACAATATACGACACTGCGACGTCCTCTTAACATGCTCAAGGACAATAAGTTACTTACGAAAACAGCACCGCTAAAAAAAATTAAATGATGGACAATCCATCTATCGCTGCTGCCACCCCTCATCCCACATAGACACCACTGAGCTCCTATTTATTCCAAGTACAACTTTGACCTATTTGAAATTAATTTTGTCTTACAATTTTGTATTTTTCAAGATTATAATAATTTTTTGTTGATTTTCTGATTTACGTGGTAGCGTTGCATCCACTTTTACATATTTTAAACTTAGGTACATAAATGCACTGCGCGCATAGATTGTGAAATTTTAAAATAAAACAATTGATAAAGTGTTTCAAATCAATTTAAGCATTTATACTGCAGTGAGTCGACTATAATATGCGTAGGTATATAACGTGTTATATTATTGACCAGTAGGTACATAGGTTAAGTTAGGTTATAGGTATGAACAATGACTGATGATTGATACAAAAGATTTAAATTGTTAAAAAAAAAAAAAA